CCTCGGTGGGCGGGGCGGGCTCGGAGGGGCGGGGCCTGTCCGCGTCCCCACGTGTCCGGCTCCCGCCTGCCCGCCCTGCCCGCCGCTTATAACCCGGGACCCGCGCCGCAAGCGGCCCTGCTCCGCCCGCACCTCCGCCGGGACCGGTAAGATCCCTCCCGGCTCCGACCCGGACCGGACCCGACCCGACCCGGCCGGGACTCCGGGTCCTGGGCCGCGGGGTGGGGACGGGGACGGGGACGGGGAGAGGCCGGGTCTGCGGGGCCAGGTCGGGGGGTGAGTCCCCTTCGGGGCGCGGTCCTTCCCGAATGCCCTCTGACCCCGCTCCTCCGCCCCGAGAGGGTGCGAGGGTCCTGGTCTCGCCGCCCTGCTCACCCGCCGGCTGCCTCCTCCTCTTTCCCGGTGAAACCGGGGCCACCCCCCCTCCATGCACCCGCCCGCCGCTGCCGGGGTGCGGGGGGCGTCTTCCCTGCAGGGCGCCCCCCGCCTGTGCCCCTAAAGGGCTGAGTGCCCGGCGGGCGCGGGCGCTGGGCTGTGGGCACCGGGTGTGGGAGGGGCCGCTCCGCAGGAAATGCCCGCCGTCCGGGCGGCTGTTGCCTTTGGCCCCTGGGGCGGCTGAGCCTGGCGGGAGGGAGGTCATTGTGAAAGGGAGGAAGCTGCTGTCCCATCTCAACGGGGCTCCTCCTGGGGAGGCCTGACCCCGCTGACCCCCTGATCCGCCCCCCCTCCTCTCCGGCCCGCCGCCTGGCTGCACGCACATCTGGGCAGGATCAAACCTGCCTGCCTCCGGGAAGGGAAGGATCGGATCGGCGGGCTTGGATCCCTGTCCCAGCCCAGGGCTGCGGGCCGGCTGAGGGCCAGGGACTGAGCCCTGAGGGCAGGGCGTCTACCTGGCGACCGGAACCGCCTCTCCTAGGATTGCCGCAGTTTCCCCCCTCCTGTCAGAGCTGTGTGGGCTCGGGGCTCAGGGCAGGGCAGTGCCTGGGCCCAGTGGCTGTGCCCGGGGCTGTGCCATGCTGGGGGCAGGATGGACCACAGGTGCCCTGCCCTCCTGCCTTAGGGGCTGGGGCAGAGACAGAACCTGCTCAGACAGGGGATGGGGACTGGGACGCAGGAGCTGGAGGATCTGCCTTAACGCCCTCCCCTTCCCCTGCCGCCCCCCCAGCCCGGGCAGGGGGCCTAGTGGGGCTGTGCCAGGGGAAGCCATTCTGCTCTGCTCAGTGCCAGCAAAGGAGGGGTGTGTCCTGCCCGCTGAGTGCCCAGGCTGGGCGGGCACCGGGGACCGTGGAGAAGGAAGGCTGCCCTCAGCACTGGGCTCCCCAGGTGCTCACAGGCGCCCCATCCCCTGCCTGCTGCTCCGGGCTCGGCTGGCTGATAGGGACCAGGGCCCGGGAGCCTGACTTGGGGGGGGGGGGTGAGGAGGGGCAGGCCCAGACTAACCTGCTATGCAGGCAGTCATCCGGGCCTGGGAGGCTGAAAGATTAGCAATGCCTGCCAGCGTCCTGCCTGTGGGCACCCGTGTGGAAGAGCCGCTGGAATGCTGGGAGCCGGGGCTGAGGCTCTGGTCTCTCTGCAATACTCTGGGAAAAGTGCCGCTCAGCCTTGGCACCCTCCTCACTCCTGGGGAGGCCAGGCAGGTCAGTGCTATTAGCAGAATAAACACATGAGTGCATGCACTCCCCCCGCAGCCGGATGCCCCCAGGGGGGGTGAGTGATGACCTGTATGAACCTCAGGCATCGCAGGGGAGGGCTGGAGCCGAAGTCAAGCCTCCTGCCCGCAGCTTCCTGGCCTGTCATTTGGGAAGAACCCCCCCCCCCCCACTCCTACCCCAAGAACATGCAGGTGAAATGAGTGGGGTCTGTCCGGCAACTGTTCAGGCTGAATGCTGACAGCGCTGCCTTGTGGTCAAAGTGTGGAATTGCAGGCTGGCTCTATCCCATGCGGATGAGGACAGCAAGGAGACAGGAGCTGCCATCCTAGGATGAGGAGATCCCAGAGTCCAGGAGAGCCCCTGTGGCCTGGGTGGAGGGAGGGCTTTCGACGAATGGCCCAGCTCCGCGGAGCTAGAATGGCGGAGAGGGGTTCCAGAACATTCCCCAGGCGGGAGCACACCAGTGGGCGGGGATGCAGCGGGACTGTGTTTCTGGAAGCCGTGTAAGGTGAGGGAGAGATCTGTGGTCTCCTGGAGGCCGAGGGACCAGCCCCAGGCAGCGTGCAGTCAGCTGGCTTCTGGCCCAGCACTGCCCGGGCGGGTCCCGGTGCCCGGAAGAGCCTCCAGCTGGCAGTCACACACGTGAACGCCTGCAAGTGGCCCGGACACAGTCTCTGCCCCGGTCCTCAGCCCGGCGCTCACATGTCAGAGCGTGCGGGTTTCCTCAGCATCAGGCGGGCACCCCGTGGGCCGGTGCTCCCAGGAGGCCGGGGGGATGGCTTTGGCTGGGGCCAGGCATCTTGTGCTGCTGCCTTCCTCCCGCTGGCGAAGGAGGCTGGGCTGGCACCGGGAGCGGGGGACCCTGCCCCGGGCGGTTCACGTAGGATGGGGTGGGGTGGGGTGGGGTGGGGTGGGCACGGCTGGGGGTGGGTGAGTCGGAGTCGAGCCAGGATCTGTGGACACTGCCCTAGGCGGGCAGCCCGGTGCAGAGCCAGAGGGTTGCTGGTTGTGGGGATGGGGAGATGGAGGCCTAGAGCGTGGGGCGCTTGCCCAGGGCAAGCTGTGACCGGGGGCGGAGAGTTCAGTGGGCACAGGCTCAATGCCCAGCTCTGGGCTCCCCCTCTCTCCTCTTCCCCCCCCCCCACCCCCTGCATCTCACTGAACCCTTGCAGGCCTGGGGGAGATGGACTGTTGTGCAGAAGAGCAGGTGAAGTAGCTCGAACCCAGGTCCGGAGGGCTCTCTCTCCTCCTGGTCTCCCTCCCCCACGCCTCGGAGGACCTTCCCCAGATGCTGGCGGGCAGGAGCAAGGCCAGTGTCTGATTGCATCATTTCCCCAGGCCTCCGCCCAGCTCCTAATCTCCCGTCTCTCTCTCACACACACACACACACACACACGCACACGCACACACTCACACACACACACGCGCACACACACGTTCACGCTCGGACGCCTGCGCCCTGCACACCGCTCAGCCCCGAGGCTCACAGCCTGGCCGCGGGAGGGTCAGGGCCGCTGAGGGAGCCCGCACAGGACTCGGACGTGGAGGGAATGTTAACCCTCTCTCTGTCGGTGAGGGATGATCACCAGACAGAAGAGGCAGCACTGTCCTGAATGCTGCCAGCTGCCAGGCGCGGGCAGATGGTCTCTGTCCTCACGGGGCTCTGGTGGGGACGAGGGCATGTGGCGCTGAGATGGCCCCTCTGAGGCGAGGTGGGGCCACTGAGGCACAGCACGGCAGACAGAGGTGGTCTGTAGCTCCATGGAGCCGCCCCTCTCCCGCCCTGATGCCCACCCTCTTGGCTCCAGGTGCAAAGGGAGATGGCAAACAGGGGTGACTCTCGCCCATCCCAGCCACCCCGGGTGTCTGAGCGCCCCGCAGGCTCCCAGACCACACCGTGACCCTGTGCGTCCCTTCCCCGCGCCTCCCGGGAGCCGGGCCGGTAGCCTTGTGCTTACACGTCCGGCTGGTCTGGGTTTCCATCCTGGCTCTGCCTCTTCCCAGCCAAGCGTGGTCTTTAGCCTGAGCCTCGGTTTCCCTGTCTCTAACACGAGGTAACACACGTGGACTGCTCAGTGTGTAATAGACGTGTTTATTATCTTTTTTTAAATGTGTTTTACTGGTTTCAGAGAGAGGAAGGGAGAGGGAGAGAGAGAAACATCCACGATGAGAGGGAATCACTGATCGGCTGCCTCCTGCACGCCCTCTGCTGGGGATCCAGCCCGCAAGCCAGGCCTGTGCCCTTGACCAGGAATCACACCGTGACCTCCTGGTTCATAGGTCGATGCTCAACCACTGGCCTCACTGGCGGGCCACGTGTCCATTGTTTTGATTGGGGTGATGGTTTCAGTGGTGCTCGGAGGTGTTTCTCAAATGCCCTCAATATATATGCAGTTTATTGTCTGAATATGCAACAGGGTGGGGGAGGGGCAGGTTCCTGGAGACAGTCAGGCCACCCGCTGTCTGCCCTGCTCTGCCTCAGTGGTCCCACCAGGCCCCGGACGCGGCCCATCACAGCACAGGTCATGCTGTTTTCCAACTGTCCTCATGGGTCCCGTCCCAGGCACACACCTCCCCACAGCTGCCCGCGCAGCCTGGCTGCTAAAGGGAGTTCTAGTGGCTGGAAGGCTAGTTCAGGGCCTCTGCCCCCCCCCGCCCCCCCACACACACACCCCGAGGCTGCTGCGCCTGGAAACTGAGCGGCGTTTGGTGTTTGCTTCTGCAGAGTGGATCGCCAGGCAGTGACGACAGATTCCAGAAGCCAGGAACCCACACCTTCACTCAGGTACCTCCTGCCGCCCTCCGCCCTCCTCCTTAATGGTCTGTTGTGCGGAGAGTTGCCATGGCACCTTTGCGGGCCCCAGGGGCGGTGCCTGGCGGTGGTTGATGGCCAGTGGAGGGGAGAGTTGTGGGTATCGATCAGATCCACCCCCAGCCTCCCTGTCCCGAGAGGCCTTCTCTGCCAAGTCCGAAGGGCAGCAGGGACAGGAGGGACGTGGGCCCCGGGCTGGCGGGGGGGCAGGGGGCAGGGGGCAGAGCGCGGGGGGGACCATGAGACTGAGGCACTGCAGATCCAGAGGCCACACTTCACCTCCAGGCGATGGGCAGGGTTCAGGCGCCTGCGTCCTGGTGCTGCTGGCGGAGCGTGGAGGGGTGTGGCTTCAGGAATGGGGCGTCCTCAGCTGGCCCTGGCGATGGCGAACATCCTGGCAGCTTGTGGGGGATGAGGCTGCCCAGGGCGGAGGCTGGGGGTTTGGGGGACTAGGGGGTGGGACAGAAGGGCGCTGTTGGCTGGGGCTGGCGGGCGGGGCTGACCCATCCATCCTCTCTCCCTCCGTCCCTCCAGACATGTCCGGCAAAGGCTCCGTGGTGCTGGCCTACAGTGGCGGCCTGGACACCTCCTGCATCCTTGTGTGGCTGAAGGAGCAAGGCTATGACGTCATTGCCTACCTGGTGAGGAGGCGCCCAGGGCCTGCCCTCCTGCCTGCTGCCCCCAGCTGCCCGCTGCTCCCCGTCACTCCCCGCCCGCCCCCGGAGTCTGTCCCGGACTGTGGGGCACGCTCCCTGCCCCGCCTCCCTTTCTCCCCGTGAACGGAGCGTCCGGGCGCCCCAGGCCTGGAGGGGTCCCCCAGAGCAGGACCTGGGCCAGCGTGCAGCCACGTCTGTCTGGGCGGCGGCCCCAGGACCTGGAGTCAGGCTGGGGTCTGGGCACAGGCCGCCCTGCGGCCTGCTGGCCTCCGTGGACGGTCAAGTGGCTGCACTTGGCCGGGACATGAGCTGGGGAGTTGTCCTGGCTTTGGGGGGGGGGGGGGAGAGGGAACAGGAAGAGATAGATGGTTCAAGGGCAGCCTTTGACCTTCAAGGCAAATGTTGCGGCCCAGCAGCCGGTGCTGCCCAGGGCCAGGCCTGGCCAGGCCTCTCCCCACAGTGGCAGCTCCTGGGAATATTCGGGTTCTCCACACCCTGGCTGGCGCTCTCTCCCTGCCCTGGGGCCCCAGCCTCCGAGGGAAACCCCTCCGTGTGAGGGCTGTTGTGTGGACGGCTCTTGCCCGGGGCTCGCCCAGGGGCTGCTCCGTCCCCGGCTGACGGGCCTCTGCTCCCGCCCCCCAGGCCAACATCGGCCAGAAGGAAGACTTTGAGGAAGCCAGGAAGAAGGCGCTGAAGCTTGGGGCCAAGAAGGTACCACGTGGGGGCAGGGCTGGGCCGGAAGTGGGGTTTGGACACGGGGGGGGGGGGGGGGGGGAGGCGGGGGGGAGGAAGGTAGCAGTGGGCCTTCTGCTCCAAAGCTCCCCCTGCTCCCTTCTGATTGGTCCTCCTGCTTCCAAGAGGGAAATAACTCCCTTCCGAGGGTGTAAGTACTTACTCCTCCACCCAGCCACCTCCCATCCACCCACCCATCCTCTCCTCATCCGCTCACCTGTCCGCCCTTCCATCTGCCCATCCTCCTGTCCATCCCTCCTGTATCCGCACCCATCCACCCATCTTCTCCTCCACTCACTCATCCACCTGCTCATCCTCCCTGTCATCTGCCCATCCACTCATCGGCCCTTCCATCTGCCTATCCGCCTGTCCATCCCTCCTGTATCCGCACCCACACACCCATCCTCCCATCCGTTCAGCGGCCTCAGGAAACTCCAGCTGAGTTCGCACACTGACTGAGCGTCTGTGTGGCATCAGGCCAGTGCTGGGTGCGGGCCCACATGGTGAACGGGCACGTGGTCCCTGCTCACCTGGGCTCACCATATAAGTGTGAGCCCCTCCCTGGGCGGGGGGGGGGGGGGGAGACGGGGCGTCCCTGGCACCCAAACCAGAAGCAGGTCCCTCTGCAGGGCGCGTGTAGCTCGCTCTGGAAGGCAGCCCGTGAGCTGTGTGTCTCACATTCCCTATTCCATGGTAGAGATTCAGGAAAAGGAACCCTCGGAATTCTTCCAGACCCTCCTTATGCCGCTGGCCCTGTAGGGAAGGCACGTGGAACACCACCGGCCACTTGTGCTCAGGGCACGTGCTGCTGCCTGCCATGGCTTTTGCACGTGATGATTGCATCACGGTAGCAAAGGTTTCCGCTCAAGGCCTCTCAGAAAGGGTCTTGGGGACCCCCCCCGGGTGCTTATTTTGAGAGCCATTCCTCTAGATCAGGGGTCGGCAAACAGCTGCTCTGTTGACTGATGAGTTTGCCGGCCACGGCTAAGGCGTTACCCTTACCCAGCAGTGTTGACTTCAGGTTAAAGACATCAGTGCATTATTAAAATGCTTTTTAAGTGTTTTTCCCTAGCAGTAGTCGGCAAACTCATAGTCAGCAGAGCGACAAACCTCGGCTGGAGAGCCACATGTGGCTCACGAGCCGCAGTTTGCCGACCACGGCTCTCGATCAGGCTTGTGGCTGGCTGGCCTGTGCATTGCCGGGTGTCCGCCAGCATCTCTGTCCTCTGCCCACTCAATGCCAGAGCCCCTGCCCAATCCAAACCAAAACCGTCTTTGGGCCTTGCCAGCCAACCCAGGGGACAGAGTCACCGCTGGCTTTTGTGGATGGCGGCTCTGGATCTTAGGTGGCAGCTGAGCTTCATTTCAGGCCCAGAATGCCCTGTGTGTGAGGAGGGATGGAAGGGCCACAGCTACCCTGTTTCCCCGAAAATAAGACAGTGTCTTATGTTATTTTTTTCTCCCAAAGTTGCGCTAGGTCTTATTTTCGGAGGAGGTCTTATTTTCGGGGAAACGTGGTAGTTTCCGTGGGATGGTGTATCCGGATTGATTAACAGTGTCTGCCCCGAGTACAGGACAGAGTGAGGGTATGGCAGGCTGGATTGATTAGCGATGTCTCCCCCAGAGGCCGGGGTGCAGCTTGCAGGGCCCATTAGTCGTGTCCGCCTTAGACGCAGACGTGCACGTCGCAGGGGGCTCGGCCTCCTGACGGGGCCCCCTCGCTGAGCCTCCCGCCCCCGGCTCCCCCAGGTGTTCATCGAGGACGTGAGCAAGGAGTTTGTGGAGGAGTTCATCTGGCCGGCCGTCCAGTCCAGCGCGCTGTACGAGGACCGCTACCTCCTGGGCACCTCCCTGGCCAGGCCCTGCATCGCCCGCAAACAGGTGGAGATCGCCCAGCGGGAGGGCGCCAAGTACGTGTCCCACGGCGCCACGGGCAAGGTGAGACGGGGCGGGCCGACAGGGGGGGGGGGGCAGAGGGCGGGGGCCGGGGCCGGGGCTGCGGAGGGAGGGAGGTACAGGCGCCGGGTGACGGGCAGATGGCCCTGATCGCGTGTGGGTGTCCCCCCATAGCTGCCAGGGGCACAGCGGACGGGCTGGATAAGAGGAATAGTACCAGTACGTGCCTGTCCACACGTGGGGGCAGTGATGTCACCCCATTTGGCCAGCTTGAGGCTGCGCGTGGGGGGCATTGCCTCTGGCCAGTCACAGAGCATGCGTCGCCACCTGTGTGGTAGAAAGGGTCAGAAACCCCGAGTTAGCAGAGGCTCAGGTCCTGGCTCCCCCGCTCTCACGCTGTGTGACTTCACCCCATAGAAAAATGGGACCAGCTCGGTCGGTGGGGAGTCATGAGTAGGTTGATCCCAATAGCGTGCTCCGCGTTCAATGGCAGGGACGTGCCCTGATCGTACGATTATCAGGCCTGGCCTAGGGGCTCCTGCAGGCAGGGGAAGGCCAGTGAGAACAATGGTCAGCGCAGCGTAAAGACTCCTCTGTCCACGCTGCAGTGAGCGGGCAGTGAGATCCCGTTCCGGGTGCTGGAGGTGAGAGCAGGGGACCAGGCTCCTGCCGGGAGAGGGTCCCTCCTCCCGTGCCCTCAGGACTGAGGGCGGGTGGCACTCGGGCTGGTAGATTGAGCTGGTGAGTGTGTGAGGGGTCTGGCCAAGGCTTGAGTGGCTCTTGGGGTCCAGAGAGAGACCCTGAGAGTAACCCACATGCAATAGCCGGGAGCAGCTGTGTGCGCTGCTCCGCTTGGCCACCAGAGGGCCCCAGAGGCTTGTATTTGAGAGCTTCTGGGGCGGACTCTGGAGGAAGCGGCTGGAGAAGGAGGCGGAGGCCCAGGGGCCTCTGGTCCCCAGCCTGGCTCCAGCGGGCTGCGGCTCTGAGAACAGCACCCTCTGCGGCGGTTGTGTGGCCCCTTGAGACCTGGGGCTGTCCCTGCAGTTGATATTCAGTGTCCCAAAGAGGAGCACCCAGACTTGGGACATCTCTGGGGGCCTCCACGGCCAGCACAGTCCAGAAAATTATAAATGTGTGGGCCGGCGAGCCCAGCCCCCTGCAGGGGCTGAGGGCGGGCTGGCTGGGGCGGGTATATCACCCATCAGGAAGGAGGAAGGGCGCCAGGCCGCGGGAACAGACTGTGCAAAGGCCTGGAGCCAAGGGACAGCTTCCCACCCAGGCCCTGCCCGGTGGCACCTGGTACGGAGGTCAGGCTGGGTCCCTCCCTCCACACCCTGCGGAGGCCCGACCCGGCCCCCCTCCCAAAGAGCTGCACAGAAGCCGGATGGCTCTTCCGGGGCCGCCTCCTTCCCACCGGTTTTGGGAAAGAAGCCTGGAAATCTGAGCCGCAGACTCGGGCAGGCGCGGGGAGCAGGGGTTTGGTAAATGGCACCATCTGTATGGCTGGCCTGGGAGCAATGGGCCCCTCCCTCCCAACCCTGGCAGCCCCGCTGGGTGCCGCACCCACACATCAACACGCCTGCATGTGTACCTGCACACGGATGCACACCGAGTGTGTGTGTGTGTGTGTGTGTGTGTGTGTGTGACGGCTCTGCCCGGCCCCCGGGGTGCCGCCAGGGGCTAGCCTGGGTGCAGGTCCTGGAGGAGGGGGTGGAAGGACCCAGTGGGCCTCGGACCCGGTCTGGGGCAGATTTGAACCGAGGCCACCTGTTGGCTGCTGGCGGGTCTGGCTCTGGAACAGATGGGCGTCCCCGCGGGCAGACACCGGCCGGGGCCTGGGGAGGAGGCAGCAGCCACCATTGTCCCGGGGAAATGTGATGCCGTGGGCACGGTCCTGGGATGTGCGACACCAGAGCTCTCCCAGACAGGCTGCCCGTTGTGGTAGCTCCCGCCTGGCCCGCGGCCCCTGCAGTTCTCCCAGGAGGCGCCAGGGCGGCGCTGTCCCCAGCCGCTGAGCTGATGGGGGAAGGAGGGGGTGCTGGCAGCCTTTGTCCGCGGGGTCTGGGCTGTGCGGCGGGGCCAGCTCCAGCGGCCTCTCCCGTCATCGTCGTCAGTGTCCAGGACAATGTCCTCTCCCTGGGGTTCGGGGACCTCCCTTCCCTGCTGAGGACACGGAGAGGCAGGGACCCAATGGGGTGGTGGGGCAGGGGGCAGTACTTTCCACCTCTGCGCCTCAGTTTCCCTCTATTCAGAGGAGCCGAGGAGCAGAGGGCCTGGGCAGCGAGCTGGTCCCACCCTCCCTCCCAGCCGGAAGCTGAGGCTCAGAGGAGGCGGATCCCGATGGCGAGGGGGAGGGAGGGAGGGAGGTCACAGCATCGAGCAGCGGGCGGGGCCACACGGGCGGGGCCTTCGGGAAGGGGCTGAGGGGTGGGCAGCTCTCTCTGGCTGGAGAAGGCCCCCCGCCCTGCACACACGTGTGCCCCCAGAAGTGTGCGACCCTGCCAGGTACCTGGACATGCGTGCCCTCCACCTCACCGCATGCCCACACATACATGTGCAGCATCTCACTGAGTCTGCTGTGTTTCTGCATCCCCTCACCCACCCTGTGCCCACGCTGACACAGGAAGTCATGGCCTCACCACACGCCGGGCACAGGGCACCCCGTCCTGCACGCCGGCTCGGCTCTGCGCTGGAGACCTGGCTGCTGAGGGGCAGGAGCTGCGTTCCTTCTCCAGGAAAGCCGCCTCCACCCTCACAGCCGCTCTCCGCCGCTCCTGAAGGCTCTGAGAGAGCGGCCGGCCGCCAGAAGGCGGGGGGCCTTCTCCAGCCAGAGAGAGCTGCTCACACACACACACACCACACCACACACACCACACACACACACAGCTGTGGTCACACACACACACACATACACACACACACACACACAGCTGTGGTCACACACACACACACACACACCACACATACACACACACACACACCACACACACACAAACACACACACACACAGCTGTGGTCACACACACACACACACACACCACACACACACACACCACACACACACACACCACACACATACACACACACACACACAGCTGTGGTTACACACACACACACACACACAGCTGTGGTCCCTCACACACACACACACACACACACACACAGCTGTGGTCACACACACACACACACACACACACACAGCTGTGGTCCCTCACACACACACACACACACACACACACACACACACACACACACAGCTGGGTCCCTGACACCCGTTCTGCGTTCCAGGGCAACGACCAGGTCCGCTTTGAGCTCACCTGCTACTCGCTGGCCCCCCAGATCAAGGTAAGAAGCTGCTCCTCGGTGGGGCCTGTTCTGGGAGGCGCCGGGGACAGGGCACCCGAGCCTTCGGGGGGGGGGGGGGGGCCTTATTCCCACAGAGAGTGCCCCCCTCACACCGCTGCCCGGGGACACACGCCCTCCCCGGGGCTGCCCGGGTTCAAGGCTCGTCTAGTTCACACCCTCAGGGCTCCGCCAGGAGACAGGCCCAGGGCAGGACCCGCCTGGGACACACGGCCATCCTGCCAAGGAGCGTGGGCCTCTGGAAACCCACCCCGACGTGGGGGCCGTCCTTCCCTGCCTAATGGGGCGCCTGGGACTGTCCTCTCTGGGGGGCAGCGGGAGGCCCTGGACCATCGGAGTCTCCGGCCCCCCAGCAGCGAGGCCAGCCCATGCTCCGGGGCGGGGCGGCCCGAGGCAGGGCCCCCGTCTGACCCCTCGCCCTGCCCCCAGGTCATCGCCCCCTGGAGGATGCCCGAGTTCTACAACCGCTTCCAGGGCCGAAGCGACCTGATGGAGTACGCCAAGGTAGGAGCCTGACCACCAGCCCGAGGCTGGGGATGGCACCTCTGTCCAGTTGCTCCTCCCACCCCGTCCCCCATTTTCCGGGCACCTGAGCCCTGGGCCAGCCAGCCCCCGGGGTGTGGTCCCTGCCTGAGCTGGGCTTCTCCCGCTGCCTCCCGTCCTGCCACCTCCGCTGTGGGTGTCCCTCGGGGGACAGACAGCCGGGGGTGGGAGCCAGGCCGTTCTCTGCCCCTTGCTACCTGGCGGCTAACGGTCCCCCATGCCCTCCCGCGGGCAGGCAGGCCCACCGAGGAGCCGCGGCCCCCGAGGCCGGGCCCAGCCAGCCCTTTTGAAGTACAAGTTGCAATAAAACATATTAGAAGTTTTACATCGAGATCCTTAGCCTCTCCCCGGGGGACCTTTCTTTTTAGCGAGGCGGTGGCAGCGCCTGACAAACAGCCTCCATCAATCAGACCAGAAAATTGCCCGGGTTTTAAATAGCAGCCGCCCGGCCGGCCGTGCTGTGCGCTCCCCGCCAGCCGCCGGGTGCCACGTGGCGGGGACGCGGGGGGACGCGGCCTGCCCCGCCGCCGGCTTCCCATTAAGGCCGGCGCGCTCGGGGAGAGACCCCGCCATCTGCTGTTTTATGATGAAGAGGGAGTTTACAAGAGCAGGCCCATATGTTGCCAAACAAACCGTCAAACAGCGGGATCTTCAGGGAGCGGCTTGGCGAGGCCTCCGGTCTCCCCGATCGGACGGCATCCGGGGGCGCTTCATCGTTGAGAGTGATGGATTGGAGCCCCCGCCCGCCCCGTCCCTGTTCGCACGCCCGCCATCCGGGTTCGAGACCGGGCCCTGCTGGTCCAACTGCGGCTCCCCGCATAAAACGCTCAGCCCCAAGCCGCGCTAGCTGGCTCCTGGGCCCCCCAGCAGAGGTGAAGTTCAGGGGGGTCGCTGCACCCCTGTCCAGGCTGGGGGGGGAGGTGCTGTGCTCAGCCTCCATCCCCAATGGGAAATTCAAACCCGGGTCCTCCCACCAACCCTCCCTCCTCCCTCCCTCAGAGGCTGGTCCCACCTCCTAGTGGGGGGTAGTGTCCCTGCGCCCAGGAACCGGTCAGAAGGACTGAGCAGCAGCCAGGCTTTGTCCGAAGCCCAGAGCCGGGCGGGACCCAGGGCTGTGAGAAGCCCTGCTCCCTGGACGCCAGCGCAGAGCCAGAGGCCGCGGCCGCCCTCGCCAGGCAGGGCACCGCCCTCGGCACGGCCTCCTCCTTCTCCCTGTCGCCATTGCCTTTTCATTTCTCAGTGTATGTTTTTACTGATTTCAGAGAGAGGCAGGGAGAGGGGGCGAGAGAGAGAAATGATGAGAGAAATCACGGATCTTTTGCCTCCTGCACGCCCCACACCCAGGATCGAGCCTACAACCCGGGCCTGTGCCCTCGACCGGAACAGAACCGTGACCCCAACCACTGAGCCACGCCAGCCAGGCTCACCATCTTCCTTTTTTCTTTCTTTCTTTTTTTTTTTTTTTTTGATTAAGGTATTACAAACGTGTCCTATCTCCCCAGTGCCCCCCCCACCCCCCAGCCCTGCCCTCACCGTCACCCCCTGTTGTCTGTGTCCATCACTGATGCGTATTGGCATACAGGTCCTTTGGTTGGTCCCGGCCATCTTTCTATTTTAGCCAGCCTTCGAGTTTGGAGCCGGGCGGCGCTCTGTGTACACGTGGACAGTGGCTCGTGTCCTGTCCTCGGCACTGAGTGTCCTGGGGGGGGGGGGGAGGGACATCAGACAGAGAGAGGGGAGGGAACACAGAGTCTCTGGTCAGGGACTGTCGCTATTTTGGGCTTTTGTGGTGCTGCCACCCTGTTCTCTCCTTCCTCCCTCTCCCCCCCTCCCTCTCCCAGGCCCAGCGGCCACTGGTTCCCGGCCCAGCAGCCGGCAGGGTGCGGGCTGCGCAGCGCCCGGGCCCTCTGCTGGGGAGAGCTCAGGACCAGTGTTGATTTGACTCTGGGCAACTTGGGGGGACCAGGCTGCCCCCCAGCATGGAGCGGCCTCTCCCATTCCAGGTGGTTTAAATGGAAGAACAAAACATTCTAGCGTGGACGCGAGTTTTGGCCTCATTTCTTTTGAGCTTCCCTCCTTCCTGGGCTTGAGGGCTGAGCTGCACCAGGAGAGATGGGGGTGATGCCGGTGGGACCTGGTGGTCCTGGGCCTCTGAGCTTCTGGAACATGCCGGGCTCGGTGCTGACGGGCTCGGGGACAGAAGGTCCAGTCTTACTGGCTTAGGCGTGGCAGGAAGCGGGGAGGGAGAGCGGGACACGCTGAGGCGCTGGTGCCCGATCCAGCCTGGTGCCCAGGGTCCGCCGGGGAACATGGGGCCCTCAGGGGACCCGCCTCATCTTTCCCCCCAAAGGCCGAGGGAGGGGCCCCTTCAGAGCACTGCCAGCAGCCCCCCAGGCCGGCCCTTAGCCATGGACTGTCTACTGGGGAAGGAAGCACAGACATGGGAGGGGGGGGGGTGCTGCCTGGGCTGTTCCTCTTCGGGATTTTGGGGTGCTGGTGTGGCACACTCTTAAGTGCTTCAGGGGCCCTGGGAGTGTAAGTCCAGAATGTTCCAGAAGGAACCTGCGAATTCAGCGTCCACTCCACAGCATCCCAGACGCTGGTCTTGCAGCTGCGGGAGGGGAAGGGGGTGGACTGCGAGGGTCCGGGTCTTTCTTGCACAAAGGGGCCAGCGTTTGGGGCTGGCAGTGACCTTAAAAAACACCGAGGCGCTGGCCCGGCCCCCCCCTCCCCTCCGCTCCCAGCTCCCTCACGCAGTCCTGTCTCCGACCCCCAGCAACACGGCATCCCCATCCCGGTCACCCCCAAGAGCCCGTGGAGCATGGACGAGAACCTCATGCACATCAGGTACGCCATCGCCCGTCCGCGGGGCTGCGGGCGCGGGGGCGCCTGCCGGGCGGCCGGACACGAGAGGCCCCGCCCTCACGGAGTGGGGGAGGGCAGGCCACGTCGGACCCACTTGTTCCAGCGCCCCCTGAGCCCTGCTGGGTGCCCGGCCTCTGAGGGGTGCTTTGGAGGTGAATCCTCGGTGGGCGGGAGCAGCAGAGAGCAGGGAAGAGCACAGGAAGCAGAGGGAACAGCCTGTGTGAGGGCCCCCGACAGGGAGCCCTGGGCCTGTGCCCCCGAAGACAGACTTACCCGGCCCTGTCCTGCCACCTGCGGCGCCCACCACCAGCTGCTGGGCCAGGATGTGCCAGGATGTGCCAGGCTGTGCCGGGCGAGGCCGGCCGAGGCTGCCCCGGCAGAAAGGAGGGCAGGCCTGACTTGTCCTGGGTGGGGGTGTCGTGGGGGTGGGGTGTCAGGGTGTAGCCATGTCCCTCGGTCCCTCCCCGGTAACTCTGTCTTCCCTTCCCCTCGGCAGCTACGAGGCCGGGATCCTGGAGAACCCCAAGGTGAGCGCTCTGCTCTGCTGGGAGCTGCCTGCGCCCGTGCGGAGGGATGTGTTTGTGCCTAATTGAGATTTCACGGGGGCGGGCGTGGGGCTGAGGCCGCGCCCTGCCCGTGTTCGCGGCCCTCCCCGCCGGCCCCCCCCACTGCTGGCCGCCCCCGCCACGCTGCCTTCTCAGGTCCCCCACCCCGCGCTCTCTCTAATGGCTGCTGGGCGAATAGGGGAGGAAATATTTCAGGGCCGCGCGCAGAGAGGGTGCGATTGTGCCGCCATAAAGAGACAATTAGGCAGATGAGACACTTGTGGGAGGGCCCAGCCGGTGCCTGCGGCTCTCAGGCCACTGCGGCCTCCGTGGGAGGCGGGGGGGGGTCAGAGCCCCGGGACCCACACCGCTGGGTGTGCGCCCCACGCCTGCAACAGGCCACCCATCCCTGTCCCCGGCCTTCCCGGCTGGGCCTTGCCCTTGGAAGTTTAAGGTTTCTCTCCTGGGGGTGGTTCCCTTTGTATGACCCTGTGCACCCTGGGAGTGGGAAGGCAGGGTGAAACCTGTCTGCAAAGAGAAAAATCTCTTTGTCCCCGAGGGACCGTGTCTCCATGCCCTGGCTGAGCCCACACCGGGGCCTGGTTTGGGGATGGGGCTGCTCAGGCAGCTGGGACTGGGGATCCAGGAAGGCCAGCTGGAAGGGAGGTGCCCGGGGGGTGGGGTGCAGGTGGGAGAGCTGGATCCCCGCTGCCGGGGACTCCAGCATGGCTGCCCAGGCCTCTGCGTCTGCGTTGGCGACAGGGCGGCAGGTGCCAGCAGTTGCTCAGGAGCCGGGCCTGGGTCCAGCATTCCTCTCGCTCGCTTTCCCCGGTCCCGGCTGTGAGCACCCTAGCCGCGTGGATGAGGGAACCGAGGCCCCGTCAGCGAGTAGGTGCCGGATCACCTCATCGCAGGAGCGGGCCCTCTGGCCCCTGGTTCCCCCACTGCCCACAGCGCCCCCTCCCCACTCTGTCGCTCAGACAGGCTGCGCCCTGTCCCCTGGAGGCTGACGGCCCCGTGAGGCTGCTGCCTGCTGGCACAGGGTTTCCAGTTCATGCTCTGCTGACCCCACGACACTGGGGCCGGCCACCCCTCATTAGCCAGTCACTCCGCGCCCGGGGGGGCTGGTGGGGGGCTGAGCGGGCAGAGCAGCCTCCAGGCAGGGTGCCTCCCGCCTGCAGGCCCTGAGCATGCTGGGAAGGCGCTCCCCTGGGGACTGGGGCGCAGAGCTGGGAGCAGCAGTGGTGGGGTGCACGCCCCTGTGTGACCGGCAGCCCCCCACCTCCTAGGCCTCCCCCCTGTCCGGTGAGGACGGCGGGGAGAAGTCAGCGTCTGAGAGGGTCTTCCCGAGGACTCGGCCCCGCGGGCACGGCGGGAAGGCTCGTGTGAGGGTCCCAGGGATCAGAGCCCCGGGTTGGAACCCGCGTCTGCTTCCATTGCTCTGCAGCCTTGGCCAAGGTGCTCAGCCTCTGAGCCTCTGGCTGCTCATGCGCACGGTGGGAAGCCACAGCGCCGCCCACTGAGCCACCGAAAGCCGCCGGTCTGCCCGGGGCACGGGGCATGGCCTCAGTCCTGGAGCTGGGGTCCGCGCCCCGTCCCACCCCCACCCCCCACCCCCCCGCAGGCCACTGAGAACCTTTGGGGGAAGGGGTCACCGTCCCCTTTCATCAGGACAGGCTGGGCCTGGTGGCCCCCGGGGACCCCATTCCCGCTGCGGCCCATGGAGCAGCCGGCCCCCTGCAGGGTGAGGCCGTGCTGGCCGCTGCTCCAGGCCCCCCACGCCCCCCTGCGTCTCTGGACCTGATGTGCGTGGGGGGGGGGGGGCGGTTATCCTCCGATCCCAGCAGCGAGGAGGCAGCGGTGAGGGGCCTGGGAGACACCTTGCTCCCCTCGCTGCCCAGGCCCCTCGGGAGGCGCTGGGGAGACAGACTCAGGGGGACCGGGCCCCTCCCCCTCCCCCTCCCCGAAAAGAGCCGGGACCTGTCGGAGGGAGGGTTCGCAGGCAGATGGCGGAGCCATTTTCTGCCTCCGTGAGGGCTGATTGAAGAGCAATGAGGCAGCTAATGCGGAGAAAGATAGAAATTTACTTGCTTTAACTTCATCGGGCCCCGGAGAAAGCGCGCATTCAGCGCCGGCCGCCGCGCTGACGGGTGAATGCGCCTCGGCAGCATCGATCATGCCTCTACATCATGGTTCAGTTCATGGGCCATTTGCTCCAATCTCTGCTCCCCGGCCTGCTGCATGCTTTCTTTCGCCGGCCCCCCTCCCCTAGCCCCCTCCCTCTCTCTTTTTTCCTGCACTGTCCCCCCCCAGCAGCCTCCCTCCCCCCAGATGACATTGGAAGTGAGCCCTCCCGCTGGGGTGGATAAATAGCCGGTATTGATACTCAGCTACAAACTATTTGTCATTTGAACTGGGCTTTGAGGAGGCAGAGCCTGAGCCACCTTGGGATGCAAAGCAAATGTCACTTGGCCTCTAGTTAGTTATTTTCATTAATTGGCGCTGTCGGGGTGTCGGGGTGTCGGGAGTCGCCAGCGGCTGCCTCCTGCTTCCACCGTGGCGTGCTGGGGCGCCGTCCTTGGGGTCTCCCACCCTCTGCTCCCCATCCTGTGGCCGGAGAGTGACAGGCAGAGGGCGGGCACAGCGGGGTGGAGGTAGGAGGGAGGAGGGCTTGGCTGCAGGGTTCTGGGTGCTCCTTGCTGGCACCCAGTTTGAGCTCAGCCTGGACAGGGGGATGAAGGAGCCAGAGAGGAGCCCAGGGTGAGTGAGGAGAGGCCGCTGAGTCGTGTGGTCGCCCAGAATCCCAAGTTTGGGTTCACTCGCCCAGGAAGGTGGTCAGGGGCCGGGGAGCATGTCTCTGTGCCCCCCCATGGGTGGTGGAGGGAGCATTGGACAGGGAGTCCAGACTCCCCGGACGCTCCCACACCAGTGGGGCCGGGCAGTCCGGTCTGAACAATCCCTTCTCTGTCCTTGGCTTTCTCTCTGTCCATGGCGACATCGGGCTGGGACCCTCGAGGGCCTGGTTCCAATGGCAGTTCGTAGCTGTGGTGGGTTTGGGGTCCCTGTTCCCGCCCCACCTACGGACACGGTCAGGAACGCGGCTGGCCACACGTCACGTGACGCTTTGGAGGTGCCAGGGGTCCCAGCAGGCCCCGGGGGAGCTCAGGAGGAGTGCCCAGGACTGAGGGGCTTCTCAGAGGGTGGGGGTGGGGCCTGGGGTGGTCCTTCCCCCTTCCAGAGAGCCAGCAGGAGAAGTGCCCGCGGGCGCTCTGACGGCCCCCCGTCCTTCCCACCTGCAGAGCGGGGGCAGCTGGCACCACACTGGCATTTTTCTGGGTGGTTTTCGTGGCCGGGAAAGGCTGCTTCCCTGAGGTGGTCATTGCTCCCATCCTACATGTGAGGAGGCCGGGGCCCAGCGGGGGGAAGCCGCTCCCCAAGGCCCCAAGCCTGAGGCCTGGACCCACCACCCTGAACCCCAGCAGGTGTTTGCTGAGGACCCCGAGGGTTCCCCGCCCTGGGCTGCAGCCCGGCCCCTCTCCCTCAGCCTCTGCCTTCCTCTGCAGATGGGGCCGCTGGGAGGACCGGAGAGAAGCTGTGCTTGGGAAGGGAAGTAGGAACGTTTGTGGGGTTTTAAAAGCCAAGGTTAGGGGGCTGCACCTTCCCGGGTGTCACAGGTGGGCAACAGCCGGGCCTGGGTGCCCACGGCCGGCCGTGAGCAGCCAGGCCCGCGAGCCACGTCCCCCGGCACCGCGGCCCAGCCAGAGCCCGGGGAGCAGGGGCAGGTGTGGGGAGCCGAGGCCTCCGGGACAGGAGGGAACGTGGGGAGTCCCAGGCAGCCACCCGCTCTCCGCCCATCTGCTGAGCACCCAGGAGACACATACATGAGGCTGATGTGTTTCCAGATGGGTCTTCGCGTCGCTCTCCATTCTCTCCCCGGAGCACTGACCCCGGGCCGGGCGGCACTCGCCGCAGCACCTGCTGGGGTCGGCGCCCATTAGCTCTGCGGTCAGCGCGGAACGAACCCCAATCCCGGCCCACGAGCCTGCGCCCCGGCCCGGACGCCCCCGCGCGCCTCCGGAGGCGCCCTTTTCCTGCCTGGCTTGCTCCTCTGCTGCCGCATTCCACCTCCAGCTGTGGGGGCGGCACAGGAAAAGATGAGATCAAGTTGAGGGGAAAAATTGTCTGATTTCCCGAGCCCTTTGTTTGCCAGGCCCCTGGCAAGCGGGGCTGGCGCCGGCTGGGGGCGGGGAGGCCTGGCCCCCCGTTTCTGGAGAGGGGTGAGGGTCTCTGCAGGAGCTGGGATGTGGGGAGGCCTGGCCCCCCCGTTTCTGGAGAGGGGTGAGGGTCTCTGCAGGAGCTGGGATGTGGGGAGTCCTGGCCCCCCCGTTTCTGGAGAGGGGTGAGGGTCTCTGCAGGAGCTGGGGTGCAGGGAGTCGGGCTCTGGGCACCCTGTCACTAACCCCGTTCTGTCCTTTGTCAGAACCAAGCCCCTCCAGGCCTGTACACAAAGACCCAGGACCCGGCCAAGGGGCCCAACGCCCCTGATGTCCTGGAGATCGAGTTCAAGAAAGGTAGGTGCCGGCCCGGCCTGCGTGGCGCAGGGGTTGAGCGTCAGCCTGTGAACCAGGAGGTCACGGTTCGATCCCCGTCAGGGTGCGTGCCTGGGTGCGGGGCTCAGTCCCCGGGGTGGGGCGTGCAGGAGGCAGCCAGCCGATGATTCTCTCTCATCACTGATGTTTCTCTCTCCCCCACTCCCTTCCTCGCTGAGATCCATAAGATACATTTTAAAATGAAAGGTTAGTGGCCACCCTTCAGGACCTGGGAGGTGGGCTCAGGGCCTGGCTCCTTTTTGCATCCTGAAAGGCCGGGCACGGGCCCTCGGCACCCCTCCCGCGTTCCCGGAGGTCAGAGTTCAGGCAGGGGCTTCAGTGGCTCCCAGCTCCCCCTTCAGCCGGGGGGTGGGACCCCCGGAGCCTCGGGGCGTGGGAGGAAGGCACCTCGGCTGCTGTCCGCCGGCTCACGGTGCCGATTCAGGGTGAGAGCGTCCCAGGCCGAGCAGCCCCTTTGGGGAAGTCACTCAGCTTAGAGAGCTGGCGGCCTCATAGCCACGGCCTCAGCGAGCCCTCAGCTGCATGAGGCTTCGCCCGCACCCAACCCGGGGTTCAGACCCCCCTCTTGGCTTGAGTCCTGATCTCCATCCTTGCTGCTATCACCAAGAAGGGTTTGTTTGTTGGCCTGGTCTGGGCGTCCCACCCTGGCCCCAGGGCCACCCCTCTCTGTGGGATGGAGGGGAAGGCAGGGCAGGACCAGGCTCAGGCTAAAGGCTCGGAGGGGTGGGAGGGGGGGAGGAAGTGAGGGCCTTTCCAGGAGGCTGGGGAAATCAGGGGGCCTTCCTGGAGGAGGTGGTACACTGGGCAGGAGTCTGAGGAACCAAGAGGGGGCATGAGGCACAGAGGCTCTGAGAACTTTAATGATTGCCTCTCCCTGGCCTTTCCCAGAAGCCTCGCCGAGACAGCGGGCATGTTCTTCCTGTTTGTTCAGACCCTTGAGTTTCATGCCACTTGGGTGCCTAAGGGTTCTCAGTCTGAGGCCCCTCCCGGCACCTGGGGCGCTCAGTCCCTCTCGTGTGCCCACTCTGTCAGGCCCGGCCTGTGGGGCATCGTCTCTGAGAAGATGCTGGGCCAGACCCAGGTAGCGCCCCCCCCCTGCCACTCACCGCCTCCCCCAAAACCCCCCAAGAGCTCAGGAGAGCCACGGGGGCGGGCGAGAGAGCCGGACAGGAAACGTGATCCATTTTCATGATCCGGGGACTGTCTGGGACAAAGCAGACGGGGGGAGCCCTCCCCGGCCGGGCCCCATTCACCCGCTAGTTAATTTATTTGAAGTTTTAATCTAATTATTAACTATTTTAAAGGCTAAGAGGCTTTCTCCAGCGGCAGCACCAACAATGTCAGCCCCTTTCGGGGCCGGGCCCGTCCGCGGCCGGCGAGGGTGGGGATAATAGGGCGGAGGAGGCAGAGAAAGGGGCCGGGGAGAGGCGGGGGGGTGGCCAGAGGGGCTTAAGGTTCATTATTGGGCAGACTTACATTTAATAGCAATTTACAACCAAGTTATAAAACCCCTGGAAATGGGGGTGAAGAATGGGGCGGCTGACAGCACGGTGAGCGCAGCCCCTCGGAGCGGCGCCCGGCTAATAAAGACTCTATTGAGCGCTGATTGGCACCCGCTCGCCGGCCCCATGGTAATGAGCTGGGCAGATGGGTGGGGGATTAGCCGCCAACTTTGAACAGCCTCCCTTTGTCACTGTTACGGCTCTCTTGTTAGTCCCCCTAATACATTTATTGCTCATTTCACACCGCTCCAAAAGTGCCCCTTGCTATTCAGAGTCAGCCCTGAACCCACCCACCGCCCCCCCCCACCGGGGCTCAGCGGGTCCCTCCCGAGCAGCCGCCTCTCCCTCCTGCCCTCCTGCCACCCCAGACCCCGAGTCTCAGGATTCAGGGTGCCTGCGGAGCGGGCACCGCCTCACCCCATCCGTCAGATGGCTGCATGGGGGGGACCGGGGTGTAGGGCCGGGGCTGGGGGGCCGGGGGGCTGGGGGGCCGGCTGACAGACATGCAGGGAGGGTGTGTGTGTGTGTGTGTGTGTGTGTGTGTGTGTGTGAGCACCTCGGCCGGGCGGCCCCCGGTAGCTGGTGGGACAGAAGGTGCTCCTGGCGTAAGACAATGGTGGAGCGTGAAATTCAATTAGTTCGGGGCCTGGTTCCAATTTCACAGCCCCTAAATGCAAAGGGGGCGCGGAGAATGGGGAGGGTGGGGGCGAGCGTTTTTATTGCGTTTCCCCTTTCATTCCGGGGGCTCCCTCGCGCCCCCCCCTCGGGCCTCACCCTGCGCGGGCCTCTGGCGGAGTCACTTGGACTCCATATCTGTCACATCCATTTAGGGCGTTGCGGGCGGGAGGGGAGGGCGGGGTGGCGGCCGGCTCCTCCGAGCTCCGGCCCCGGGCCCACCGCCTTCCCCTCCCGCCCAGGGGTCCCTGTGAAGGTGACCAACGTCAAGGATGGCACCACCCACCGCACGGCCTTGGACCTCTTCGTGTACCTGAACGAGATCGCGTGAGTGCCCGCCCCGCCCCGCCCCGCCCGGGAAACACTGTCTGTGGCTGGCCCAGCGCAGCCAGGGGTGGCCGATGGTCATGCTATGGTCATGCCATGGTCATGCTGGGGGCCAAGGATCCAGGCTTGCGTCCCACAGGCAGCCTTGCCACAGCCTCCACTGTCCCTGGTTGGAGGCTTGGAAGGTAACGCCCGGGGGGTCGCCTGCACCCCGGGACCAGGACCGAGGGAACGGTGAACAGGCCCAACGAGGGAGGTCCCGGCAGTGATGCCTTACACTCGCCCTGGTACAAGCAATCTCGTCCATGTCTGGGCCTCAGTTTCCCCACCTGTACCGTCTGCCATGTCTGAGGCGGTGCCTGACATCCTGCCTGAGGCCCACACTGTGGCCGAGGGGTGGCCGAGGCGCCCGGCCGTGGCAGCGCCGGCTCCGGGTGACCCGCTCTCCCACGCACAGGGGCAAGCACGGCGTGGGTCGCATCGACATCGTGGAGAACCGCTTCATCGGGATGAAGTCCCGCGGTGAGTCCTGACCCTGACCCTGACCCTGACCCGCCTCGGGGCCGGCCTCCTGGTCCCCTCCGTCAGGCACTGCGACTCCCCTGCTGCGTCGGTGCCTGGGCAAGTCCCCTCACCCCACCAGACCCCGTTTCCCTCCTGGAATGGGGGTGCAGGGCGCTTTGCCACAGGCTTCGGGGAATTTTGTGGGAAGAGCTGTCCCCTGGGCCGGGCAGAGCGGAGTCTGGGGTCCGGGAGAGGTGCTGATTAGAGAGGTTCCGGGCCCGGGGCGGGGCGGACCGGTGGGCCAGGCAGGACTGATTTCCTGGTCATTAAGGCTGAACAGAGGCCGGCTGGCCTGGTAGGGATCCTGCCAGAGGGGGGCGCTGTGGGCTGCAAGGCGCTGTGAGCAGCCAGGAGCTGGTGGGCTGGATTGCCCAGCCTGACTGCCTCTGGCTAGGCCCATAGGGAGGAGAGTTCGGTCCCCAAGTGTGTGCCTCTTTGTCCGTCACTCACCGAGTCATCGCCGCCACCCTGCCCCTCCGGGACTCGGTTTCCCCGTCCACCCACGGGCTCTCCGCTCCCGGTGGGCTGTGACAGGGCCGCACTCTGGGGGCTCCAGGAGGAAGGTGCAGTGACAGCCCTTAAACCGGGCACTTGAACTTGTAAATACCAGTCGGTCATGGGGTTGCGGTCCCTGTGTGGGCACGTGTCCCTGTCGCTTTGCTCAGGGCCGATGTAAAAAGATAACCCAGCCAGATAAATCCAGGCCGAGGTGTGGCCAGGGCCTTTGTCCTTCAAGATGTTTAACTGGGACCCTACCATCCGAAGAGAGCCGAGGCAGACTTCAGCTGTTGGAAAAGGGGGCTGGTGCGCGGGAGGCCGAAGGCTGGGGTTCGCACCCCAGGGCTGCCCTGCCCTGCCTGGTGACTTTGGACTTGTCATTTCTGGGCCTGTTTCCCCAGGGGCCGTGGGACATGTGTGTGTGTGGATGGGGGGCGTCCTTAGGGCTCTGAGCTGCTTGGGTCTGCCTCCAGCATATGGGGAGAGGGACCCCTCCTCTCCCCTGCCTCCCCTCTGTGGGGCTGCTGAGCTATGGTGGAAGCAGCCTACCTGGAACTCCCTAGCAAAGGCCTTGCAAGAACAATAGTGCTAATTAGCGGCTGCCTTTTCCCCTCTCCTACCTTTGTCTCCTACTCCATTTACTGCTGATTAAATGCCCTTTTGTCTCAGCCTGCCCTTGGGAGCCCGCACAATGTAAGTGACCTTGGGGAGCCCGAGACCAGCACCCTCATTGTATAGAGGGAGCAAGCGAGGCTCCGAGTGACAGGCACTAAGCCGATGCCCCAGATCCGGGCAGGCTACGAGCTTCCCTCTGGAGTGTCGCCCGTCCATCCGGGTTCTGGCCGGGTATCACAGCGGGAACTGGAGCCGGGGCGGGGCTCCATCATGGCCGTGGCCCCCGGAGGATGCTGCAAGGACGAGGCCACAGCCTATGCCCTCCGGTTGCTTAGAGGGTCCCCGAAGGCCCCTGTCGCATTGCCCCGTCTGTGCCCGTGGCAGGCATCACTCATTGACGGTGGATGTGTCTCGGTGCTTCAGGCAGTCACGACCAGTGGATCAAGATAGGTATTCATGGTGAAAATGGATGTCCTGTGGAAAAGCCAAGGACTGGCCTGAGGCCACCCTGAGGTGGCCTGCTAGGCAGGGAGAGCCACGCAGACCTGAGCTGAAGGAGGTGGTAGTGACAAAGGCCTGGTCTGGGCCGTGCTGGGAAGACATTCTGGAGGAGGAAGTGGCCGGAGAATAGGCATCAACTGGTAGACTGTGGGGTGGACAAGGTGGGAAGGGAGGAGTAGAGAAGGTAGGAGGAGGCCAGTTGGGTGGTGGTTGGGTCTGATGGCGGCTGAACCCCCGGGAGACCTGGCAGAGGTTGGTATGGTTAACGTAAAAAAATCCAATGAAACCTGTAAGAATTTTTGTGAGTTTATTTGAGCCAAACTGTCGACACCTGTCGGGAAGCAGGACCTCCGTGAGTTGAGATAATGCTCCGGAGAATGACGGGTTACACCTGTATTTATACAATGCCTTCCGAGGAGGGACATAGGTGGATCACACGAAATCCATTGGTGATGGATTAAGGAGGCGGGATAAAGCAAAGCTGGGGAAACCTCTGGGATTGGATAAAAAGTGAAATGATGGACACATACTCAGGTGGGTGCCGGAACAATGAACATGATAATGAAGGAATCTGTGGTCTCTGTCCCAGCCCCAGCACATTAGATTGTGCCCCAGGGGCTCCAGAGAAAGGAAAGTAACAAGTTACCCAGACATTTCAGGGGTGTGTTATAACAGATGCAAAAAGACAGGCTCAGGTGACCTTGTCAGTGAAGATACCAGCCTAGGACGTAACTGCTCGCCATCACTGCTTTAGTCAAAGTTTCGTTTCAGACCGTCCTTTGTGGTGGCTTTTGGTCTCTGAGTCTGCAGACGGCCACGCAGGCCTCTCCTGAGCGGTCAGGTCCGCACGTGGCCTCTCTGGTCCACAGTGCAGAGGGTGTAGGCGTTGGCTCCAGGCTCCCGTCCCCATCCCCACGGTGAAGCCGCTCTGAGCCTCAGCTTCTCCTGTGGGGCGGGCTGTGTCCAGGTCAGCTCTGGAGGCTCTTGGCCCACAGCTCTTGGGTGCTGTGCCTGGATGGTCCACTCCATCCTCTCCCCAGAACCGGGCACCATCACCATTGCGGGTCGGAGCCAGTAGGCTAGCAGGCAGATCTGACTTCTTTAGTAAGAACACCACCCACCAGACGAACAGACGCCCGAAGGACAGCCTTTACCCGCCCGGGTGGTGTGTGTGGACCCGAGGGGGCTGTCCCTCGAAGCTCAGGATTCGGTCACACAACTTGCTGTGTGACCTGGGGCGAGTTGCTTTCCCTCTCTGAACTCCAGCTGTTGTCATTTGTTGGTGATGTTGTCATTTCCCTTTGGAAGTTCTGACTCACCTATTTTCTACATAGGTTAGGGGCTGGGAGGGGAGGTGAGAGGAGAAAATTGCTTCCTCGTTTTAGGCGATATCTTGTTTTGATTTCTCCGCTCCCGGTGATTTGTGGTGAGAAAGAAAGAGCGGGCCATAAATTGGGACACTGGGTTCTCCCACTGCGGGGTTTTTATGAAGTCCCCGGTAATGGGGGACGCTGTTAATTGCCAGCCATATTGAGGGCAGAGTGGGAGGGCTATTGTCCGTGTCTCTGTGTACAGGGGGAATGTCATTTGTATTGATTTTACCAAGCTCATAATTGAAATTCGTTAAGGGCCTGTTTATTTGCGGTGTGTTTAGTTTTTTTGGTTTTTAATTTGGTGGTTTTGTGTGTTTCTCTCCCCCCGGGGTTTGGGTGGTTCTGGTGCCCCGAGTCTGGGGTGGCTGGCTCCGTGGCATGGGGGGGCCCTGGGGTCAGAGGGGCAGGGGACTGGGGAAGCTGCAGATGGAGTAGCTTTCGCTGTATTGTGGCTGTTCACATCGTCATTATCACATTATCTCTTTAACTCCGGAGGGGGGCTAATTAAGTGAAGTAAATGAAATCAGTGGGGAGGAGAAGGGGGGCTAGGCAGGCAGGAGGGGAGCAGGGAAGGAGCCAACTCACGTCCTTCGCTCACCTTGCTCCTCTCTCCGCCTGCCCCCCCCACCAGATCTCAATCCTCCTCCTCTTCCTCCTCCTCCCCTCCTCCTCTTCCTCTTACTCCTCCTCCTTTCCTCCTCCTCTTGCTCCTTATCCTCCCCTCCTCCTCTTCCCCTCCTCCTCCTCCTCCTCTTCCTCATCCTCCTCCTTCTCTTCCTCATCTTCCTTCTCCTCTTCTTCCTCCTCCTCCTCCTCATTGCCAGCTTTCTCTGCCCTCTACTCTCTCTCTTCCACTCTTCAGCCTTCTCCCTCCACCCTACCCATCTCTCCCCTCTAACTTCCTCCTTATTCCTTGCTTTCTGGCTAAGAAGGAACAAGGCTGCCTGCCCACATCCCCACCTGCCCGCCCACCAACAGCTTCACCCAGATGGAACCTTCCAGGTGGAGGATGGAGGGAGACCTGCAAAGGGAAGGCATCTGCCCTTGCAGAGGCCTGGGGCAGCCAGCCCCAGAGGCCCACCCTGGCTCCCAGGAGCACAGAGGATGGTTAGAGTCCCACCATCACTTGCCTCCCTGTCCGTCACCATAGCAACTGCCTCTCTCCTTGGCCCTGGTACCTAACAGGGGAGTCCTTGGGCTCCAGCCAACCTCCCTTCCCTGGGTGTTTCCAAATCCCTCCCTCCGGATACTGCTTTCCCAGAGGGCCAGAGCCTCTGGCCCAGGTGCCCTCGCCCCCACCCCTCGCCACCTGCTGAGTTCGGATGCCGCTCAGTTCTGCCAAATGGCTCGGTCCAGGCTAACCTGGCAGCCTCGGGGGCCGAGGAGAATGTAAGTGGCAGCAGCTGTTTTGGTCCCCACTCGTCCTCTTTGGTCCACTCTCCGCTCCCCCCCCCCCCCCAGTAATTATGGGGTGATGGAAGCCGCTCCATGAGCGCTGCTGACACCTCTGTCTTTTCCCCGCAAACACGGGGAGAGGAAAATAGACACTCGGAGCCGCTGTGCGTGTCACTCGGAAGATGTCTGTTGTCTCTTCCACCAGTCTCAGCTGTCATTTCCTCCTCCTCTCGCTCGGTGGTTTGTATGCTGACTGTCAAAGCCCCAAATCCATCGTCTTTCAGCATCAGGCTTCTGTCACTGGTTTTTTTTTAGTCATTTTTTTTTTCTCCAGAAGAAATACACAGAACGCATCTACCCTTACCCCTGTGGAGAGGAGAGATCTTGAGATTCTCTCTCTCCCTCTCTCTCTCTCTCTTCCTCCCTCCGTCTTACACACACACACACACACACACACACACACACACACACACCAGCAGCAACCGGAAAACAAGCTTTTTGATCAGTCGCAATTAACTTTAACACCTTCGTAGAAAAGGAGCAGGAATATTAATTGTGCTGGTGTGTCGTGGCTGCCTGGGAGGGTTGGCAGCCGGGAGGCGGGTTCTGAGGGCTCAGGAGTGGGCTCAGGAGGGGGCAGCTTTGCCCACCAGGCACGCCCGGCCTGGCCCTCTCTGCACCGTTGGGAGTGAGGCTGGAATTGGCTGCAGAGTCTGCATGCCCCGCGGGTGGGGTGAGAGTGTCCGGGCACCTGCCTTCAGGCCAGGGCTGTGGGGCTTCAGGGCCCCGGCCCCCCAGATACAGCTGTATCTGCCTGCTGAGGGGAGGGAGAGGGAAGGGGGCCATGATTATCAGTGTGAGGGCTGTCTTTCAAAACCTGGCACCAGAAGTCTGTTCCAAACCAGTGAATCTTGAGTTCCCAGTCTGCCCGTCCGAGGAGACCATAAGCCTTGACTTTATCTCGCTTTAGGCGGCTCTGGGTGATGAGTTCCCGGGGTAAGTGGAGACTCCCCGCTTTACGTTGAGGTGGGCACTGCCATTCTGGAGACAGACAGTCCCAAGCGTTCCGCACGCATTCGGCTCTGCCGAGGGCTTTTCTCGGTGCCCGGAGGCCATGGTGGTGCCAGGCAGCCCCCAAGGAGTTTCCATAGGTTTTCCTTGCCCCCACCCTGCAGTTCTCTCTCCCTTCTCCCCCTACCCACCCTCCCTCCTACCCGCCATGGCTTTTCTCTGCCATCCCTCCATCTCCCCCTTCCTTTCCCTCTGCGTCCCCCTGTCTGTCTCACCGCTGCTTCCTGGGCTGTGTCTCTCCCTCTAAACTGCTGACAGGCGCGAGGGCCGTGGCCTCCGGGAACATCCCCCTGAGGTCACAGCTGGGCTCGGCCGTGCAGCCGAGCCGGTGGGCCGGCTCTTCCGGAGCGGCCATCCTCCGGGCCGGGCTCCGGATGGGACTGGGAGCCTCGGAGCCACAGCCCAGGCCCTTCCTCTCGGCTCCGGTCACTGAACACGGGTGATCCCAAAGGGCCTTGACTCCGGTCACTGAACACGGGTGATCCCAAAGGGCCTTGCCCCCCAGTTGGGACTTTCCTGCGATTCCCAGACCGGGCCCTCGGGAGGGGGCGGGGGGAATTCCTGGCTAGTCGCACGGCTCAGCCCCCTTCGGATTCCAGCACTGAAAACAGTCTCCTTTAGTTTTCGCAGTTTCTCAAGGAGGGTTTAAAATGGCGGTAAAATATGCACACCGTTACGTTTACCGATGTAACCGTTTTTGAAGTGTCCAGTTCAGTGATACTCGGCACATTCACACGGCTGTGCAGCCGCCACCACCCATTTCTAGAACTTGCTCCTCTTCCCAAACTCTAATTGTCCCCACTGAACCCTAACTCCCCGGCCGACCCCGGCCCCTGGCAGCCTGCACTGTCCCCCCCCACCCCCGTCTCCTGAACTTAACTTCTGGGGCCTCCTGTCCCCGGACCACACTGTCCTCCTTCGGTGACCGGCTTCTCTCTCAGCATCCCGTCCTGGGGCCATCCCTGCGGCAGCCGGGCCAGTGTCCTCTGGTTGGGGAAGGACATGTGGTCGTGTGGCTGGACCACGTGGGTCCATTCGTCCGCAGGTCAGCTCGCTCATGTTTGGCTGCGTGCACACACCGCTGTGAACGTGGGCGTGCAGAGCCCTTTGGGGTGTGTGTGTGTGTGTGTGTGTGTGTGTGTGAGGCAGGAGTTTGGAAAGACGAGGCAGCACATTGTCAGGCCAACGGAAAACTCCCTTCTTTGCTGCTGTGACGTGGGGAGGAAGAGGCAGCTTTCTGGGCAGCACTGCGGGGGGGGGGGGGGGGGCAGGCCTTGCCCCTCCTCCGTTTGTCCAAGGTCAGCTGCTCAGGCTCCGGTGAGCTCATTCAAGAGGCCGCCGTGCTGGCCAGCAGGGCCTGGCCGCGTGTGCGTGGGGACCCCACGTCCTCCCGTGGAGCGGGGCGCTGCTATCGGCCGTTCCCCGCAGGGCTGCTTCCTCCCGTCTGGGCCGGGCAGGTTGTTCGGCAAATGGAGGCACTGAGCCCGAAGGGGTGGCCAGGGCACTTGGCCAGGCGGTGGGTTTGGGCCGGCATCGCCGGCTGACCCACCGCGCGGCGGACACTCCGGTCGGGGCCTCGGGGCCGGAATCCGGTCTCCAGCTCCACCCGGGCAGGCCCCTCCGCAGCCTCGGTTTCCCCACCTGCGCCGGCCTGGGTCGCACAGCGATGACGGGCCCTCTCGGGAAAGGCGGACGTGGCGTGGGACTCCCAGGCCCCAGCCCCACCCCGGCTCCGGCCCTGCACATACAGTGTGTGCTGGGCGTCCATCTCAAGGTCAGGGCCGCTCCGCGGAGACACAGGGCGGAGGAGCCGCGGGCCGAGAGGCCTGGCCTAGCTGCTCGCTCAGCAGCCCTTCCCCGGCTCCCCGCTCCCCGGTGGAGGGAGGAAGGGGCATCGGGGGCCCTGGGCTCCTCCGTCGTCGGTTTAATTACAGGTTTTCAGCCGCGGGCCGGTGGGCGCGCGTCGGGAGGGAGGGGGCGGCTCCGAACCCTGTCATTTTCCAGCGTCTGCGGCCTCTTCAGAGGGGGCATCCAGACATGTTCTCCGCACGCCGCAGAGTGGACTGTCGTGGCCCCAGCGTGAACATAATGACAGCTGCATTTTGCGGCAAGCTGGGAGTGAATGGGTCCGACCGGCGTGTCTCCTGTCAGCGAGTCATTATTATTTTTTTCCCTTTTTGTCATTTGCTGACAGTTTGGGTTTCATGTGTTTCTCTCCTTTTTTCCCTCCCGTCCCCCCGCCTGGAAAAATGGCTAGGTATCTACGAGACCCCAGCAGGGACTGTGCTCTACCACGCGCATTTAGACATCGAGGCCTTCACCATGGACCGGGAGGTGCGCAAGATCAAGCAAGGCCTGGGCCTCAAGTTCGCGGAGCTGGTGTACACCGGTGAGTGGTCCCCCGCCGTCCACCCCCCGCCCCCGGCCCACCCCACCCGCGGCCACGGCCCCACACAAGCAGGCCAAAGGAGGTCATGTGGGGACAGGGGACGAGGGAGCCAGAAGGGGATGCCGGGACCTGCACTGCTAACAGGGTGTCGAGGGAAAGGTGCCTGTCCCCGAGGTGTCTGCTGCCCCCGCCACTGCAGCCTGAATGCCCCCAAGGGTGCACCTCGGGCTTCCGATCTTTACTCAGCACGTGCCCGTGCCAGGCACTCTGAGGGGACAAATGCTGTCCCAGGGGGTCCCCCCAACTTTCCTAGGAGCAGCCAGCTCCTTTTACAGATGAGGAAACTGAGGCCCAGAGAGGAAGGAGCTTGTACAAGGAGCTTGCACAGCAGGAAGTGGCCTCGCTGGGTGTGGCCTAAGGCAGGCTGTCTCCAGGCAGAAGCTGGAGATTCTGCATTAACTGTTTTGAGCAAGGCAATGGCTGCCTTGACCGAGAGCTCGGCCCCAGGCCCAGGCACGCATGGAATCACCACCACATGCTTGCCCGTGCGTGGAATGGGCCAGGGGTGACAGGAGCACGCAGTGCGGGTGGGTTCCCGTTTCCCAGGTGAGGAGACTAAGTTTCTGTGTCTTTCTGGGTTGGAACCCAGGCCTTCTGACCCCACGTTGTATCACTGTTTTTGTTCAGCTCATGAGCTACGGCTAGTGTTTATATACACGGAATGGCCAGATGATGATGATCTCTGAACGCATAATAATCTGGCCATTCAGTGTATATGCTATATAATAAAAGGCTAATATGTAAATTATCCCTTCAACCAAGAGTTCAACCAGCAGGCAGGCCAGCTAACCGCCCATGTCCCCTCCCCCAGCCAGGCTGGCCAGACCCGTGCACAAATTCATGCACTGAGCCTCTAGTATGAATGGCCAGATTATTATGCGTTCAGAGATCATAATAATCTAGCCACTCAGTGTATATGAATGGTTGGGGAACGTTTTTTAAAATGACACCCCTCTGTGACACATGGAAGTTTTTCTGGGGGTCTCGGTGACTGTGAGGAGTGTTTAGGGGGCCACGCTCCTTCCACAGATCGTCTGCGGCTGCTTCTGAGCTTCCGGAGGCTGAGTGGTCTCAGCAGAGACTGTGTGGCCCACAGAGCCCAGAGGACTATCCAGCCCTTTCTAAATACAGTGCTGGTGGCCTGCTCTCTGCCCTTCAGAGCTCCCTGATGAGAGAGATCACATCCAACGGCCACTGGGGGACAGGCTGCTGCCTGCGGTCAATCTTGACAGGCACAGGGGCCTGGATGTCGGCCCCGGGGAAAGTTAACATCCTATATAGAAAAAGGCAAATATGCAAATCAACCAAAAGGCAGAACAACCAGTCGCTATGACATGCACTGGCCACCAGGGGGCAGATGCTCAATTCAGGAGCTGCCCCCTGGTAGTCAATGCACTCCCACAAAGGGAGCACTGCTCAGCCACAAGCCAGTCTCACAGCGGGGAGCAGGCCTAAGCCGTCAGCCGGACATCCCCAGAGGCTCCTCCGTGCTCACCTCACCCCTACTCCACCAGGAGATTTTGAATTCTGGGGAGGGGACCCTCCTAACCACTGTCACCAATCTTGGCATTTCAAGAAGATTCTCGTGGTTACCGGCTGGTGGCGTTTCTCCTGCCATTGTTTCCTGCAGCTTAGAGGCCGGGCCCCCTGCCAGGGACAGGCAGGTGTTTAAATACCGCTGTCTCCCGCGGACTCCCTCACTCCGCGGGGTTCCGGCGCCGGAAGGAGGGTTTGGGTTAGAGTGGGGGAGCCATGAAGACATGGCAGGATGGAGGGCCGCACACCTGGCTGGGCTGCTCCCGTGCGGGGGTTTCTTCGAGGCCGAGGAGGGGCCAGGCCCCAGCCTCAGGCGAGGACACTTGGCCGAGGTGCCAGGCTGCTAAGGGGCAGCTGTGAGCCCGGGGCAGGTGGCTTCAGAGGGGCTGGGCCATGAGCAGGGCTGATCCCGGGGCTCGGCGCAGGCATGGAGCCCTGGGTGTCAGCACAGCGTGGCCTAGGCTGGGGCTTAGGCCCCTCTGCCAAGCCACCTGGGTTGTATTCTGGCTCTGCCACCCGCCAAGCCCTCTGAATCCCAAAATGAGTGCCAGTGTTTAGGAGGTTTCAAAGGACAGAGAGCCGCTGGGTGGGGAGCGGGGATGAGGGGGCCGTGGAGACACATAGAGAGCCTCAGGTGGGGGCGAGGGGAGAAGGGGAGCCGTGGAGACACAGCCCGGGGAGGTGTTATTCGCATCCACGTTGCCCTGTGCCCCGATGTCCATGCCCCCCCAGCGATGTCAGGATTGGCCTCGGCAGCAGCCTGTCCCCCAGCCGCTCAGCGGGGCTGTTGGATGTGATTTCTCACACAAATGTAGAGGGATATTACCGCTTGAGCAAGTCCCTGGACCTCCCTGTGCCTCGGTTTCCTCATCTGCCCAGTGGGGAGAATGACCCTGTCTATAGTGAGGACTACATGCGATAAAGCCCAGGCAGGTGCTCCCACAGGGATCTCCCTGCCCCATCGTGTCCCCATCTCTCAGCCTGGGAACTTAACGGTCTAATCACCCCGACAGAGTCAGAAAGGTGGGGTGTGATGAGGTGGGGCTGTCGGGGTCCCCTCCTGCAAGGGACTAGACTGAGTCAGGAGCACTCACACGCTCTGCCCATTGCGGGTGTCTGCCTCCTGGGTGCAGGGGGGGCTGGCGGCCATGTTCACACCTCAATGCCTGCCTCCTCTCAGAGCCTGCCCAGCCCCCTGCAGAGCGCTCAGCAATGGCGTCTCCCCGTGCGAACGGGCACCGAGGCACGGAGAGAGAGCCGTGCTCATGGAAGGGAGCTGGGATGTGAACTCCAGTGCCAGGTCACTGAGCAAGAGCCTGACCCCTTGTCTTCCTGCCTGGCCCTCCCCCGCCTCTGCCAGCCCCCGGCCCCATCCCAGAGGTGGGCGGCCTGGGCCCCTTTCCCACCGAGAGCCCCGGCCAGGCCCCTGGAGGCCTGGGGCCCCAACAATAGCGCAGACCCCGGGCTGACCCGGCCCTTTATCGGGGCCGGAGATCACCAGCCATCTGGCCCCACAGCTGCCCAGGTGGGCTCACCTTCCCGGCTCCATTTCAGAGAAACCCTACCCTCCAGCGCCTGTCCCTCCCCCACCCCGGCCAGCCGCCTGCTGGCCCCTCAGCGGCAACTGAGAAAGCCGCTGGCCCAGGTCTGAGCCTGCCCTTCCTGGGACTGAGCACAGCGCCCTGGCCCCAGGGCTCTGGGGAGGGGTGGGTGCAGGGGAGAGGAGGAGGAGTGCAGCCCGTTTCTCAGGCCCTGGGGGATGCTCTGGCCCAGGCCCCTGCAGCCTGTGTGACCTGGGAGGTTTCGCACGGGAATGTTCTTGAGGACTCAGAGCTCGGGCCCATAAAATACAACAACACGGCGAAGCCAGTTCACTGATTTCGGAGGGGCCTGCCCCGTTGGGGGTGGGCCTCTTCCTGGCTCTTTGTCGACACACCAGTGTCCGCAGCCCCTGCACCCAGGGCCCACCCGCAGGAGGCCCACCAGCCTGGGAGGGGGCGACTGAGTCACCCCCGCAACACATGGGAACACAGATGTGAAGGCCACATACGCAGGGTCTTCTTGACCCCAAAACTGCCATCCAGCTGCTGGGCCCCCGGTGGCCAGGGCCTGAGGCTTCCTGGCCTCCTGGCCCTCGTAAAACAGCTCCCTGTGGGCAAAGGACCCTGTCTGCGATCTTCCCCGAATGTCCGGCCTGAGGCAGCGAGTTCGCGGGTTCGCGTCCCTCCTGGCCCTGGGGGACAGCTGCTCCTCCCTGCCCGCCAGCTCGCAGGCCGGGGCTCCGGCTCGGTCCTGGGTGTGTGGTTTGCAGGCACTCAGCGCCCTCCCGTCCCCCCTCAGGCTTCTGGCACAGCCCCGAGTGCGAGTTCGTCCGTCACTGCATCGCCAAGTCCCAGGAGCGCGTGGAGGGGAAGGTCCAGGTGTCCGTCTTCAAGGGCCAGGTGTACATCCTGGGCCGCGAGTCCCCGCTGTCCCTCTACAACGAGGAGCTGGTGAGGTAGGTGCCCCTGCGCCCGGGCTCAGGCCTGACGGCCATGCCCCTCTGACTGCCTCTCTCATCAAAGACGCCCTGCAGGCGGGCAGAGCAGGGGAGTGGGGGTGGGGGGGCGGGGGGTGGGGGGTTGCAGTCCAGGCCAGATGCGGGGAGAGGCGCCAATCACACGATCGCCCGGATGTAGGGTTAGGAGCCGTGGCCCTGGCTGCGCGGGGGAGACACGGGCCCTCTGCCGTGGTCCCTGAGAAGTCGTCTTTGAGTTTGTCAGGTGCCACGGCTTTGAGCCCTGGAAGAATCCGGAACATTTCAGGCCCTGCAAGAACGCGGGGACAAGGGTTGAGAGCCGGATCCTGGGGGGAGGGCGTGATGGGTCTGTGTGTTCCCAGGCCCCTCCGGCTGCTCTGGAGAATGGGTCTGCGGGGAGTGGCGGGGAGTGGCGGGGAGGGTGGGCCCTGGGGGTGGCCCGGGCCAGGCTGACGGAGCTGGGGAAGGAGAGAAGCAGACAGATCTGGCCCATATTCAGGAGGTGGGACCCTAAGGGCTTGGCTGTGGAGGGAGACGGAAGGTCCCCAGTCGGCTGGGACTTGGGGCAGAGGCTGAGCTGAGCGTGCTCCGGAGGGAAGAGCGTGCTCCTGGGAGAGGCTTTGCTCAGAGACCAGCCAGGAGAGCTATCTGGACCTGCAGGTCGCGTTGAGGAGAGGGCGGGTTGGGGACACTGGGCAGCAGTCAGCATCTCGATGTCGTGGGCCCCGGAGGGCCAGTGAGATGGACAGGAGCGAGGAGAGACCCGTGGGGGCTCCTCACGACGCGCCAGGCGGGGTGGCGAGGCCAGCAGATGCCCGTTAGCCGTGCCTGGGTTGGCGTTGTGAGTGAGTGAGAGTGGCCTGGACCGAGGAGCGAGGCGTCTGTTTGGAGGTCGCCTGGGCGTGGGGGGCAGACCCCTGGGGGACAGCCAGCTGCACCTGACGGCAGGCCCGGCCGGAGGCCCGCACCCTGCCCGGGGGCCAGGTGAGGATTACAGCACGAGTTTGTTTGGCAGTCAATATAATTTCTCTCTTCCCCTCTCCTGGCCAGGTTGCGTTTCCTCCCCCCTTCCACCTTTCTAAACACTTTATAAGCCATAAATATAACCGAATCAGTTTAGATCAGTCGGGGTAAATGTCAAATTATCTTCTCTCTTTCTCTCTCTGGCTCTTGCCTCCCTCCCCCTCCAAATCAACAGCTTCTAATGATCTGTCCAACCCTTCATTAAGCCTTAGAGTCTCCCTCGGGGAGATTAAATGAATAAAGTGAAAAGGGAAAGGGGAAGAAAGAGAAAAGCGGGAGCATTTATTCTCACTGTGCCTCCGCCGATTTCGCCTTTCTTTCTGATTTCTACTTCGCTGGCTTGAAAGCCGCTGAGTGACAGCAGCGCGGGGACCAGCGAGGAAGCCGCGAGAGGCAGCGGAGCTGGAAATGCCGCGGCACAGTAGGTAGAAAGTAACGTAATTATAGAGCAGGTCAGAGCCACTCGAATGAACAGAAATAAAAGCACAGAGGTTTTCTGCAGACTGTCAGGGGAGGTAAAAAAAAAAAAAAATCATTGTAAACTCTTTTCCGCGCCCCCCCCACCCCACCCCACCCCAACCCCAACCCCAACCCCGGACCTCCGTTTGAAAGAGGGGTTTGTCTGTTCCGAAGGGACCCTCTGGGGACCCTTCGGCAGCCTCGCAGGACAAGCTGGCCCCCTGGCGGGCCCCCACCTGGCTATGTGGGGTGGCCAGGAGGGCCGTCTGGGGGAAGGGGGGGTGTTTGCCGCAGAAGCGGGGATGGAAGGACAGATGCTCAGGCAGGGAGGTGGGGAGGGGCTCTTGCCTCCTCCTCCATCCCCTGCCCCCAGATGGAGCACAGGCCCTCAGACAGGGGGAGCGAGGCCTGGGTCCTAGGCTGATGCTTCAGTTCCGTCCAGTTTTCCTCTGCAGCCCCTCTGAAGTCTGACACGGTGTCCCTCGGGGGGGGGGGGGGGGGGCAGCCGAGGGGGGGGGGGGCGGGGGGGCGTGGGAGTTCTGTGTGCCGGCTTCAGGCCCCGTAAAGGTCAGGGCAAGGGCAGGTTTGGGGTGTGGGGCAGGCCTGACGTCCCGTTTGTTGTAAAAAGTCCACAAAGAGCCAGTCAGGCACAGCCCTGGGGGGTGGGGGGCGGGGGGCGGGTAAGCTTGGCACCTCCCTGTCCCCTCCCCTCCCAGCCCCACCTCCCCCGGGGAAGGCTAGAACCTTGGGACGGCTGTGTCCTGAGGCTGGAGCTCGGCAGACAGGAGGACAGACAAGGGGCTGATTCAGGGCGGGACCTAAGAGGGGGCCCATGAGAAACGGGAGGGTCCCCTTTCCCGCGGAGTCAGGTCTGAGACCACAGCGCCCCAAACTGGTCCTCAGAGAGCTGGCCACCGTCCCGATGAGCTGAGAAGTGACCGATGGCTGCCATCTGCCTCTTCCCTCCCCCACCCCCCCCTCCCCCCGGCACTGAGCTTACCCAGCTCCTGGCCCCTCGGTGCCAGGCAGGGCTCCTGGCAGGCAGAGGGTGCCCTGTGAATACCCGGGTCAGTGGGTGAGCGGGTGAACGGATGGTGCGGGGGAGCCCATTCCGGCCGCCAGGTGCCGGCTGCGTGGCTTCCGTGGAGCCCCGTTTCCCAGTGAAAGCCCGCAGCCGGGCGGGACAGGGCGTGGGCCCCAGTCTGTGATGGGAGCGGGGATGAGGGGATGCTGCTCGGAAGGGTTTCGGGGGGCAACCAAGGGGGAGCTCCCAACCTCTGACCCCGGGGGACGGAAACCAGGGGCAGAGAACGAAAATAAACATCTGTCCGAGCGGGCAGCTGCAGTTGGCCCGCCCACTCCCTGGCCCTGGCGCGGGGCGGGCGGGCGTCCGTGTGAGGACAGAGAAGACGGATCTGGCTGGTGGCACAGGGTGAAAGCCGACTGCAACCCTGCCCCGAGGGGGAGCCTCCCTGCAGCTGGAGGGGCGTGTGGTGCAGACCCCAGGCTGCTCCGTGTGCACCGAGGCTGCTCCGGCCCTGGGCCCTGGGCTTCAGTGGCCTTTCCTGGACCCCCCACAGCCCCGAGGGCGGAGCCAACTGGGACTGGGGTCCTCAGGCTCCCCACGCCATGCGCTGGCCGTCGGAGGGCCTGTGCAGCTCCAGGGGTCCCCCGGGCGGGATGAGGCCGGGGTGCTGACACGGGCTCTGCGCTCTCCTTGCAGCATGAACGTACAGGGTGACTACGAGCCGATCGACGCCACTGGGTTCATCAACATCAACTCCCTGAGGTGAGGCACTCCGGGCCCTGGCGTGCCCCCGGCGTGGGGGGCAGACTTCCTGGGGCCTGGCTGCTTTGGACCCCGCCCGCTCCCATCCTCGGGGGGGCCAGAGGGCACCCCTGTAATAGTCGGAAGGGTCCTGGGCACGTGGGCTCCCAGTTCTGGGGTCCTGCCCTTCAAACCTGACACGTACGGACACCTCCTCCGCCTGCAGGGGCTCCCCGGGGGCCCCAGCAGGTCCCCTGGCCGCTCCTGCCTGCCGGTCGCCACCCCTGAGCTGCAGGCCCAGCGGGAAGCCATCTTAGCCATGGGGTTCCAACCCTGACTGCAGGGGGGTCTCTGACCCCTTCGGGTAGTGGGAATCCCATGTGGCAGTGTGAACTGTCACAGGGGACAGGAGCCCGTGGAAATCAGGCACGCGGGAAGAGCCGGGCAGCATGCCCTCGGCCTGGGCGTGGCCTGGGGGCTGGCATGCACAGGGGCAAACGGGGGCATTTCTTGCCAGCAGCTACCAAAGGCTAAGCCTCTTCCAGGCATCTCCTAGGTTATCTCATTTAATTCTTACACCAATTTGCAGCTCCAGAAACAGGCCCAGAGAGGTTAGGTAACTTGCCCCTGGTCACACAGCTAGGAAGCCAGGATGCTGAGTCCGGAAGGGCGGTCTGTCCCCGCTGTGTGTTCCTAATCACCAGCTTCCTTCTCCCGGGGCTTGGGATTGAGCCCCTGCACCAGGAACACCCCACTCTCTCCTCCCAGAGCCCCCCACGATGGGAGAGTCCTTGAACCCAGCCCCACCACCCCAGGCGCCCTTCCCTCGAGAACCGCCTCCCTCCCCCTCCCGGCCTCCCTCCCCCTCCCGGCCTCCTTGGCTCTCTCTTTGTTTTAGGGCCACAAACCTTTTAAAATGTCTCCAAACACAGGGGGTTTCACAATGGCCTCTTCACGTCTCCCACTGCCAATTAAATGTTTTGTCATTAACAATGGCAAGCAACGTTCCCCCGCCCCCCACCCCTTAAAATAAATTAATTCCATTATCCTGATGGGAGGGCCGAGGGAACAGAGGGAGGAAAAAGGACAACTTCACCTACATCCTCGCCGACAGCTGCCCCGGGCCCCGCTCTGCCCGCGCTCATTGGAGGGAGTGCGTGTTGTGACTGTTCATTCCCTTCCTCTTTGTTGTTTGGAATCTGGTCTGCAGGCTGAAGGAGTATCATCGCCTCCAGAGCAAGGTCAGCGGCAAATAGACCGGCTCACAATGTGGCTGGGCCTCCTGGCTTCGCCCGCTCCCGCCCGGCTCCCGTACAGGCGCTAATTGTCCCGATAATTTGTAGTTGTGACTTGTTCTCCGCGGGCTGGCGGCCTCGTGGGGGGGCCAGGCCCCAGCTTTGTTCCTTGGTCCCCTGTAGCCCGCAAGAGTGGTCGGTGAAGGGGAGGGTGGGGGGTGGCTACGGTGGGGAGCTCTAAGATAACAAATAAAAACACACGATACCTTAGTCTTTTGCTTCTTTATTTCTGCAGAGACAGGGGTAAGAGAGTGAGAGAGTGTGTGTGTGTGTGTGTGTGTGTGTGTGTGCGTGCGCGCACGCGCACGTGTGTAGTCAATCATGCTTTTCTGAGACCCACCTTTGTGTGTTCTGATGTAAGTGCTCCCGAAGGCCACCTTGTGCTTGAGACTTTGTTTATGTGGAAGAGCCGACCCCTGTCTCCCCCGACAAGAAACGGGGGGTCCAGGAATGCCCACCTGGATCCACTCTAGCCGGCAGCCTGGCATTTGTCCCCAACAGTGGCCCGGTGGCACGTGCCAGGGGAACCAGAAGCGTGTAGGTGACACCTGGGAGCTGTCCGGCCCTCAGGGCACCGGGGATTCCTGAGAGTGGAGGAGGGAGACCCTGCAGTGCAAAGAAGCCCCCAGGGAAGGGAGAGAAAGAAGCAGACACGGAATTGAGGGGGCACTTTGGGTGTCCACCTGGCCTCCACGCTTCCTTCCATCTCCTTTGCAACACTGGGCCCCACTGGCCACTGTGTGCTGTGACCCTGCCCCCTTGGTCGTGTCTGATTGGAGCACGATGGACACCTACCCAGAGCTGGGCCAATCGGAATCTCCCTCCCAGGAATCTCCCTCCCTGGAAGAAATGACCAAAAGCAAGGCTCTATTTGGCCAAACATTTCATTAACTCAACCTTAATGCCTGGCGAGGCCAGTCCCAACGATTGCATGGGCCTTACACGGCCCACGGGCCGACGTTCCCCACCCCTGACTTGGGACTCAAGCTCGGTGAGAGAGTTGCTGCTACTTACAACCAAAAGCATCTTTCCTGGGAGGACTTGAGCGCTGGTTGCTCTGGGCCCTGCCCTGGCTCTGACCCCCACTCCCCAGTTTTCGTCAACGAGGGCTTCTTTCCAAAGAAGCTTCCCCTTTAAAACCTTTCCTCTGGCCCTAGCCAGTTTGGTTCAGTGGACAGAGCATCAGCCGGAGGATCCCGGAGTCCATTCTGGTCAAGGGCACCTGCCCAGGTTGCAGGCTTGATCCCCAGTGTGGGGTATGCAGGAGGCAGCAATCAATGATTCTTGTCATTGATGTTTCTAGCTCTCTCTTCCTCTCCCTTCCTCTCTGAAATCAATAAAAATATATTTTTTAAAAAAAACTTTCTCTCTGATTACATAAGTTATAAACGGATTACTTACTATTAACTTTGTGTCAGGCACAAAGCTACACACTTTATTCCTGCTATTTCATGGAATCTTCAAAGCAATACCTTGGAGGCACTTCTGTCTCCATTTTCCAGAGAAGGGGACTTATCAGCATTCACTCAGCACGTGACAGAACCAAGAACCAAGTCCTGGCCTCGCCCACCCCAGTCCCATGTGTTCATGTCTTTAACCATTGTGATATGCTCATCATCCTTAAAAAAGTAATCATCCTATAAAAATAACTACCACCCAGTTACAAACACTGCTCACACTTGGTGGATTTCATTTCAGTCACATATTTCCATGCTTACAAATATTTTTGCAGAGTTATTAGGTGAAAGTATTTTTTAAAATATTTTTATTGATTTCAGAGAGGGACAGAGAGAAACATCAATGATGAGAGGGAATCAGTGACCAGCTGCCTCCTGCAAGCCCCCCTTCCCCCACTGGGGATGGAACTCACAACCCGGCCATGTGCCCTGACCAGGAATTGAACCCTGACCTGGTTCATAGGTCAATGTTCAACCACTGAACCACCATGGCTGGGCTAAGTTATATCTTAGTAAAGCTGTTAAAATAAGTATTGTGGTCGAGACCGGTTTGGCTCAATGGATAGACCGTCGGCTTGGGGACTGAAGGGTCCTGGGTTGATTCCAGTCAAGGGCATGTACCTTGTTTGCAGGTATATCCCCAGTAGGGGGTGTGCAAGAGGCAGCTGATCGATGACTCTCTCTCATCGATGTTTCTAACTCTCATCTCTCTCCCTTCTTCTCTGTACAAAATCAATAAAATATATTTTTTTAAAAAATAATAAAAATAAGTATTGTGTCCTAATGTAATTGGGGGGAGGGGAGATGGCCAGTGTCAAAAACTTGAGGAGAGCATGGGCCAGGGAGCACCGGGCTGGAGCAGAGAAAGCTGCGGTGGAGAAGCCGCTGGTCCGAGTGGAGCCAAGGATTCTCCGGTGCAGGCGGGTGGGAGGGGCAGCGGGAGCAGCTCAGGGACCAGACTTCCCTTTCCTGTGAGAACCCCGTGCCCCGAGCCTGAGTTCTCCACTCCTAGGAGGGGGTCACAATGGGCCCTTCCTCCGGGGGTGCTGGAGAGCCCGCTGAGGCCGGGGTGGGCGTCAGGGCAGGGCCAGGGTCATGGCTTCTCCCCCGAGAGGCACCGCCTGTCCCTGCAGCAGCCGCCGCCGATGAGCACGCCCTCACAGGTGTCCGGGTGACTGCTCAGAGGCCTCCTGCCCTCTGGGAAGCCATGAGCCTCTCGGCTGTCATGGGAGGAAGGGAGAGCTCCATTTCTCAGGGAAAAATACAAGCTGGAGGGGGGTTGGGGTTCCCGTGTCACCCGCTCAGAGGAAGGCGGAGGTTTCCAGGCCCCGGGGCTGCCTGGCGCCAGGGTGAGGCGCTTGGAAATCATGGGGTCAAACAGGAAAAGGAGAATCACGCCTTCCTTTTAAAACACCTTTGAAGGCATGTGGGGTCCAGGAGGAAGCTCAGGCCGCCTGGGCGGCCCCCATCCCAGCACTGAGGGCCGGGCCAGTGAGGGCAGCTCGCTTGTCTGCTGGGAGCTCTGGGCTGAACCCACTCCTGCCCTGCAGGTTCTCTGGAGGAGGAAGAAGGGGATAGAGGAAGGAGGGGATGGAGGAGGGAGGGGACGGAGGAGGGAGGGGACGGTGGAGGGAGGGGACAGTGGAGGGAGGGGACGGAGGAAGGAGGGGATAGAGGAAGGAGGGGATGGTGGAAGGAGGGGATGGAGGAGAGAGGGGATGGAGGAGAGAGGGGATGGAGGAAGGAGGGGATGGAGGAAGGAGGCTGCACCTGGCTGCTCCCTCACCCTCAGCTCATTGCCATGAAGGTCTGCAGCTCACAGGTGGGCAGTGTGCTCTGCCCCGGGCTGGGGGAGGTGGGGTGGCAGCGTGGGCAGGGAGGGGCACACACAGCCTCTGCCCTCACAGACCTGCCCCGAGGCCCAGGCCTTCCCGTTTCTGTTTCCAGTTCTCCGGGGCATGAATGGAGGGAGAGGGAGAGGGAGCAGCCAGGAGCCGGGCTGCTGGGGAGGAGGCTAACGTCCCAAGGGGACAAGAGTGGCGTTGAGATCTGCCACCTCCTGCCCCCAAAGCCCCTCCTGTCCGCCCAGTGCTGACATCGGGCCGTCCTGCCCCAACAGCAGCCTCACCTCTCACTCCCACTCCCCAGTGGCCGATGGCCGCTCTGGAGGCTCCGAGCGGACCGTCCTTTCTCGGCGTCACACCTCGGCTCGCGTGAAACCCCCTCTCACGGGGCCGTTGTTTATGGCGCAGGCCCTCCCCAACCCGCCCCTCTCGGAAGGAAAGAGCGTGGAATAAAGACTCAGGGGCCAGGTCAGTGGTCAGCAAACTCCGGCTCTTGAGCCCCATGCGGCTCTTTGGCCCCTTGAGTTGTTACCAAGGCCCGCTTAGGAGGACCCTGATTAAGTGAATAACAATGTGCCTACTTATATGGTTTAAGTTTTAAAAATGTAGCTCTCAAAAGAAATGTTAGCCGAAACCGGTTTGCTCAGTGGATAGAGCTCAGTCAGCCTGCGGACAGAAGGGTCCCAGGTTTGATTCCGGTCAAGGGCATGTACCTTGGTTGCGGGCACATCCCCAGTGCGGGGGGTGCAGGAGGCAGCTGATTGATGTTTCTCTCTCATCAGTGTTTCTATCTCTCTCCCTTCTCTCTAAAAAAATCAATAAAATATGTGTTTTTTTTTTTTTTTTAAATTGTATTGTTGATATTTGGCTCTGTTGACTAATGAATGAGTTTGCCAGCCACTGGGCTAGGCTTTATCTAGCCCAGACCCGCCCCCCCCTCCTCCCTCCGTTTCTCCAGGATCTGGAGTGCCTGGCGGCTGTGGGAGGAGCCGCAGCCCAGCAGCGGGCCTGGGCCGGCACAGCTGATCTGCACGCCTCTCAGGCTGCGGAAAGGGCTGGCCTGGGGTCAGCACAATCGATATCTCATCTGCAGCTCTCCTAGCGGAAGTGATGGCTATTGGAACACGGTAATGGGTGTTGTCTAGTGGAAGAGACTAATCTTCCCAGCCGAGGAGGGCTCCGCAGGTGGCCTGTGCCGCTTGCCGCCGGCCCCCCCCCCCCCCCGGGCTGTCCAGGAACTTTTAAAGCCGCAGTGGCCTCGCTGCAGGCTGCGTCTGTCCCAGCACCTTCCTGGCACAGAGCCTCCCAGGTGACCCCACCCAGCCCTTCTGAGCACACAGGGAGAGACCGGAGCCAGTGATTGGCCCGAGGCCACACCCTCAGTCTGAGGACAGCCAGCTCAGGGGTGGAGCATCAGCCTATGAACCAGGAGGTCACGGTTTCTCATCCAGTCAGAGGCCCGGGTTGCAGGCTCCATCCCAGTGTGGGGAGTGCAGGAGGCAGCTGATCCATGATTCTCTCTCAGCACTGATGTTTCTGTCTCCCTCTCTCTCTCACCTCTTCTCTGAAATAAATAAATATGTATATCTATTCTTATTCTTTTTATTTTTTAAAATATATTTTATTGATTTTTCACAGAGAGGAAGAGAGAGGGATAGAG